TTTGTTGATTTGCTTTGTTTTGTTTTTTTGAATGTCCAGAGGACCAGATTTAACTTTTTTAGATTTTTCTACCTGGATTATTGAGCATGCATCAGGATATAAGAGCTTTTCTTCATTTGTTAAAGCAAAACATTTTAAACATTTAGTTACAGTCTATGCAAACATTGGTTATAGTAAAATTTCATTTATCCACACAATTCCAGTTGAGTTTAATCAACTTCTTTAGATTTACAAGGCACAGTATTGTCTGATTCTCAGTTTTTATATTATAGTTTTTGTTGACACTTCTATTCCTGTTTTTCAGCTGCTTTTTTCTTTTCAAAGAAGTGATTTCTTCACACTTAGACACTTAGATAGCTTTATCACAAGTTTTAAGCTTAATTTTGACTTTATCTTTTTGCACCTCCAAGTAATAAAATAACAAAAATTTTAGTTATGTTTTTTTCTCATATTTGCCCAAACTATTTTTAATACCATAATAACCTAACTTAACAACCCTCACTCATAGCTGATCTAGAGTAGATGATTTATTTTAGAAATGCCAGTATCAAATTTTCTGTTTCCTTCAGGATGGACATCCAAAGATTGAGATGCTATTTGTCACATCTAACAGGTGTTTGTGCTTCATGCAGATAAACGAGCTGCAGAACAAACTCACTGTTCAGCTCAGGGAGAAAACTGCAGCTTTGACTCTGAAGGCCCAAACGGAGGAACAATACAGCATCCTCGCTGCTCAGCTCAAAGCTAAGGTACGTTTGTTCTTTGTTTTTGTTTTTTAATTAATCGTAAAGTGGTGATATTTTTTAGATGACAACCACAAGGGATGGATTTAAAGTTTATAAACGGATGTTTTGCAGAAATAACACATGAAAAAAAAAATTTTTTTTGTTAAACTGTGTTCAACTCTTACATAAAGTACACTGAAAGCAGAACAATAGTAAAAACATCCATCCATTATCTTTTACCTGCTTCGTCCTTTTCATGTTGTGGGGGTCACTGGTGCCATATCCAGCAGTCACTGTGTGAGAGGCGGGGAACACCCTGGGCAGGTTGCAAATCCATCACATGGACACAAAGAGACAAACAACTATACACTCTCTCACTCACACCTAGGGACAATTTAGAGTTACTAATCAGACTAACATGCATGTTTTTAAGCTTTTAAGCTTTTTCTAAGCTTTTTTATTGTTTTCTATCGTATGGGTGTACATATGGTTATGTTATGTTTTTAATTTTACTTTATTTGTAGGTGTACACAGGTCTTATGTCTTATGTAATGTTCTCATTTTATTTTTACTTTATTTTTACTTTATTTTACTTTATTACTATTCGCACCTTATGTCGAAGCAAATTCCTAGTTTGTGAACCTCGTTCATTGACATGGCAATAATAAACTGATTCTGATTCTGATTTGGTCTGTGGGAGAAAACTGGAGAACCCGGAAAAAACCTACATATGCACAGAGAGAACATGCAAACCACCCAGAAAGGTCCCGGGCTGGGATTTGAACTGGCGACCTTCTCGCTGAGAGGCAACAGCTCTACCAACTGAGCCACCGTGCTGCCACAATAAAAACGTGAATCTTAAAATGGTAAAAGCTGATGTAACGGTTTAAAGGTGCATACCTTTCTCATCAGTCATCTTTATTTTTAAGAATGGAAAACAAATCGCCCTGTGATGGACTTGCGACCTGTCCAGGGTGTACCCCGCCCCTCGCACTGTGATTGCTGGACATGGGCACCGGTGACCCCCGTGACCCAAAATGGAAGATGCGGGTAAAGAAAATGGATGGATGGATGGATGGAAAACAAATCGAAAACCCACTCGATGAATAAAATCAAAAGAAAATCAGAAACACAGAAAAACAACAGAAGATAAAGATTTTCTGTATTTTTGGTTGTCCTTTCGATTGTTTGCCTCCCTAAATTCAAACAGTCACAATAATACTATTTTTAAAATGTGTTCATTCTTTGTGGTAAGTATTCCTTCAATTCATCACTGTAGGTCTTTCACATATTTACGTACATATCAGAAACAGTGTTGTTTAAATTGGTTCTCAACTAATCTTGTTTTACATCAAAATTCTTCCTGAAATCACAGACATATATAATTTGGCCTGTTTAAATTAAAACCAAGTTCCTGGACTTTAAGGTTTTTAATGTGGTAAAAAAAAAGTATTGTTTGCTTCTCCATAAACAATTTTATTTACAGTACTTATGTTTTATTTTCAGAGTAATAAAACACGTTTAAATTTTTTTTAAATGTTTTCCTCACACTCCCAGACACCTTTATTCCTTAGCAGTTTAAAGTAGTTTTCTTCATGAGTCATTGACGTGATGTTTGTGCATTTAACTCCACAGAGCATCGCTCTGGAGGAGCTGAACTCAGAGTACACAGCTATGAAACGAGGACGGAGCAGCAGGGATGATCTGAACACCACCCTCGTCTCCCTCAGAGCCCGTTACGATGACATCAGAGCAAAGGTGGGCAACTAGTCAGTCATGACCCACAAGTTTGCTTTAGGTTATTCTTTTATGTATACCCTAAGTATCTTTAATTTTCTTGTAGTATGATGTACTTCTGAAAAGAAAAAGCCAAACAGATCTGGATATTGCTCCTTTAAAGGTGAGGAAAGTGAATCCTTCTTTTCCTGCTATGTTTTGTTGTGTTGTCATTCTGTCTGCTGTTGAACAAAATGTGTTTTCCAACAAAAGGCCAAGCTGTCCTGCCTGGTGGTGAAGTGTCAGGAGAGAAACTGCTTGTTAGTTGAGATGATGAAGTCCGTGCAGAATCAGAGCTGTCTTGACCCCAGCCTTATTCAGCGAGTCAAGCATCTGCTCAGAGATGCTGCTCTTCAGGAATATGCTGCAACATTCACACCAGGGAGCTACACACGGACTGGAGACTGCTGCGATGGGCTTACACAAGATTTTTTTTCTGTATTTCAAGACTATACCAGTGGATTCATACCTGATGAGACCTGCCCAGTTGTATCAATCTGTGTGAGCAAACAAGAAACCAGAGTCCCACCTGAATCTAAAACCCAGTACGGTGAAAGTAGAAAGCATGTTTCAATAATGGCCAGTGAGACTTCAACAAATCTTCAAGTTGGACCTGTAGCAGTTGCAACCCTGAAGAAAAACACACCTGAGCTAATGTCTCCTGTTCCAGAGCCTGCAAGTGTCCTGGTGTCCCCTGTTGTCCCTCTGAAAGACACCATGAGCTCCAATATGTCACAGGTGAGATCATAAAATCACGAAATGTGTTTTGTGTTTAAAAATGTGAAGAAATTGACATACTTAAATGAATTGGCATTACTTGGAGAAATGTGTTATAAAGTAGTTTCTCGTTTAATGCGGGTGTTAGGTTCCAGCACCACCCCCACCCCACCCCCACCCCCAATAAGTGAAAAACCGCCAACTAGGGACGCTATGTTTATATTAGTATTTATATATATTTTAAGGCTTTATAAACTCTTCCCACACTCTTGCAATGTTCTAGACTCTTAAACCTACATAATTTTAACATACGTACAGTATTGTATATGTAGCTACTAAATTTTACTCACCGGTCTCTGCTGAACAGCAGCGGCTTGGTTCGTTTCTGGTCCGACTCTGTTCCATTTCTACAGATGTACAACAAAGCCCAAATGTTCTAAACTCTTAAACTACTAATTTTAACAACATACTATGTAGCTATTAAATTTTACTTACCAGCATGTCCCCGCTCAGACGTCCTTGTTGGCCGGTTGAAAAATGAAAAACGGGCTGTTGAGCTTCAGATGGACCCCTGGACAATCGGTCGCGTGGGTCCAGTGACGGCTCGTCGTTGGCCAGTTGAAAGAAGCAGCAAGTCCCTCACTTATCGCGGAGTTTACGTTCTGGAACCCCCTTCCCCTCAATACGTGAAAAACTGTGAAGTAGAAATAACGTAGATTTCTGAGTTGAAACAACAAACCAAAACAGTTCAGTCAACTAATACATTTAAATCAACTAAATTAAAGCAAAAGTTTATTTAACAAGGGTTTATTAATCAAGATAACTTGATCATGTTTATTCACACAACTTTAAATTTAAATTGAGTGAGTAGTAATGCCTTTTAACTCACCAGCTCTGCAGAACACAGCAGCTCGGTTCGGGTCCGGCTCGATTCCGGTTCGGCAGACCTACTCTGCCTTGGTCCAGTTCTGATCAGCTCTCTGCATCCACTGAGCGCCAAAATCACTATGAATACTGTAAGGACCATTCGGATGGCATCAAAAACTTTCCCTACATTTCAGCAGAAAGCAACTTTGCCTTCTGAGTAATGTAGTCCTTTAAAGTGGTGATACAGTGTAGGCTTATTGAGAGAAAACTACAAAATGGCAGCACTTTTTTTTGTTGTGTACAATCTTACAGTACTGTACTTTGTAAAATCGCGAAAGAGCGAGTCTGCAAAAGTTGAACTGCGAAGTAGTGAGGGACTGCTGTATAACAAAAACATACTGGCACAGTATTATTACAATTATTGCTCACCTTTCATGGCAACAAGTGATGACAATAGTTAACTGAAAATAATAAATCCAACCCAACCTTTTCTGAATCGCCTCACAGCTGTCTCCTGCCAGAGGACCATCCCAAGCAAACAGTCGACCAGAGAAATTAGGATTTGAGCATTTGGACATGAAACTAAAGTCCTCATCGGGTCCGAGCAGTTTGGGTAAAGCTTCACAGCATCCTACCTCTTCCTTCTCTGGCACACGAGTCGGTCCGGGCCGGAGGCTAAGTAGTCCTGAGAAGATTATCAACCTGCATGAACAACTGCAGAAGACTCTGATGAGCAGCTTTCAGGTACACAAACACAGGACAGAGTTAGTGCTATGTTATAAAAAAAACTTTTTTTTACCAAGATTAAACTAATATAATATTTAATACACATCTGTTTTCACTCAAAGGCACCAGAGAGCAGAGGAAGAGAACAGGAGCCCAGGAAGAGTCTTTCAGACCTAAACTCTCCCAGCACGACGTTCAGTTTTCACCACGCTCACTCTCTCCCAGTTTCACCTAAACATGCGCCATTAGAAACCACTAAACCCGACAGCTCTGGAAAATCAACAACACTTTTCGACGCCGTCATATCTCGATCTGCTGACGTTAAATTAAGTCCCAGCGTGTATACGAAGCATCGCCTTACACCAACCACTTTGAGTTCCCCTGACTTGACTCCCAGCAAAGATGAGTCTGTTTTAACTGGGGGCACTAACCCAACAATAAACGTAAACCAGACAAAGAAAATCTCTGCCGTTCTTGACAGAGCTGATGCTGCACATACAGCATCTTCTCTAATTCCTTTGACGTTTGATGTCTCCGATCCAAAAAGCACTCCTTCAGATGTTACTCCCTCTAACAGACCAACTGCCTCCCAGTTTACCTGCTACATTACCTCTGACATGGACAGTACTGCCTTCACTCATCCTAGCTTTACGCCCTGCTCTCAGTCTGCCCATTCCTCTCCAACAAGATCCATAAAGTCCACCACAGAGTCCACTGCTGCTCCAGTAAAGACTTCAAGACTCAAACCAGGTGATGTTCTCATTCAAGAATTCAAGGTTATTTTTACGAAACGGCTACCACAGTGCTATTTGCTTCTGTGTTTTTATGTATTCCCTACAAAACAAAACAAAAAAAATGTGCACATGGCAAACTGATAATGACCCTACAAATATCTCAAAACTGCTACTACTGCCTAAAAAACACAAACACTTATTCTGGGAACAACTTGAGGTTTTTTCTGTCTGAGACACACTGTAGGAAAATGAAACTACTAGGAGTAGATTATAAACTAATAAAACCTAGCTATAATTTTAGACTCTGCCCTAATTGATACAAATTAGAGTTTGAAGCTCTGATAAAAAAAAAAAAAAAAGTGTTTTCCCCCACAAAAAGGCTGAATTGCTTTTTTTGAATATGAGAATAAAGGAACTGTATGTTTTGGCGCCCGTTCTGTGCATGATGTTTTGGTGTATTACTGCAGAATATTAGTGTTTCTTTGCATGCTGCTGGGATCTGATTACACCACATTTAAATGTGCCTTTTTCTCTGTGCCTGTTTTTTTTTATTGTGAAAGTGCTGCAGTGCAGTTTCTAGCTGTTTGGTGATTCCCAGCTTATTGAACTCACAGCAGTATATGATTATTACATTTTAATGTGTCGTTTGGGCTTATTGGCAAGTTCTAAATGTACTTCATCCCGTTTCATTCCTTATTGTAAAAAGTGCAAGAACTATATAATTGTGCTTAATGTATTTTTTGTCTAATTTCTTTAGAAGCTCCAGCTGAGGTTTGCTCTGTTGAAGTAATTAAAACGGTGGGTCAAAGCAGCCTCCTGATTGGCTGGGAGAGGCCGCTGCTTGACGAGCTAGGCTGCAGTAACGGCACATTTATGTATGGCTACAGGGTAAGAAGACACAAACATACGCTGGTTTTGGTAAATTAACTTAATTTGTATTAATAGTTTTAAATGTTTGTGCAGGGTTTTCTTTTATTCTTTGCATAAATGATTTCCTGTTACCCCTCAGGTTTTGGTAAACGGAGAGTTCCACAAATCTGTCATGAGCTCAGCATGCACCAAGGTACGAGACCACATTTACTCTTTATATATGTAAAAATCTGAATCATATTACTATAAAAACAAACATGTGCAATAGATATTGTCTCTGTCCTCAGTGTATCCTGGAAAACATCGACCTGAGTGTCCCTGTTCACATCATCGTCCAGACTCTGGGCTCTAATGGTCTCCGATCAAACGGTGTCCAAATTGTTCACAACACCTCAAACAGAACGGAGCAGAACTGATTCAGGTGTCTAGATTAGAACAACCCTCACAGTGGGACTGATCATCAGGTAATTTTACAACATCAATTCTGAAAAGGTTGGGGCGTTGTGCAAAATGTAAATAAAAACTAACAAACTAGAAAGCAACACATTGAAAATCTTATAAACCCCAAGTATATTCACAATGGAACATATTTAACGTATCACATGTTTAAATCAAGTAACTGTACTTTTTTTACGGGAAAAAAAGTAATTTTGAGTTTTATTACAGCAACACACCTCAAAAATCTTGGACAGGTAAAGGAAAAAGGCTGTAAAAGTAAATTGTGCAAATTAGAAAGAGCTGAAAAAACATTGGCAACTGACGAGGGTAACTGGCAGCAGGTCAAAAAGAGGACAGCACAGGTTTGGGAGTTACTGGAGCTCATTCTCAATAAATCATCTGTCCAGAACTTTGTTTCTGTGAACTTTGAAGCAGGCGTGGCACTTGGAGGACTTTCCATGAACTCTGCTCTTGAGTTTCTCGTGAAGGATGAAATATATTGGCTTGAACAATCTTTGTTTGTCCTTATGCCACTTTGAGAAAAGAAACATATTTTTGGTTCTTGTGGGATATGCTACAAAAATAAAGCTCTGTTGTGCAAAAAGAAGCCATATTTGAACACCATCCAGAATAGCTACTGTCATCTCTGGGCCATTTTTAATAGACTGGGGCAAAGTAGAAAGCTGTGCTGAGATAATGAGGTTTTAAATGCTTTAGCGAATCATGGCTGCCATGACTGTCTTCCATACTAAAAAGGAGAAGGACCATCCAGCCTGTTATCAGTGCACAGTTAAGTGGTTCTCTGATGGTATAGGGGTGCATTGGTGCTTCTGACATGGGCATCTTACTCATCTGGAAAGACAACATCAATGCAGAAAAGTGTATACAGGTTTTGGAATAACATGCTCCCAACCAGCCCAAAGTCCACCAAAGAAGACCCAGGACTGTTGGACAACAATATTCTATCAGACAAGAATGGGACAAAATTTCCATCCAAAACCTCCAGCAGCTGTTCTCCTCAGTTCCTGAACGTTAACACTGTTGATGAAAAAAGATAAGATGCTTCGCACTAGTGAACATGCCTCAAGTTTTTTAAAGAAGTTTGTGTGCTGTTCAATATTACCGAATTATTCCCAAAATATGGTACGATTTCTTAGTTTGAACATGTGAGATGTTTGCCATGTTCCATTGTGTATGTTTTTATTTATTTATTTTGAATCGCATTTCATTGTGTGAAATGTGTTTAGCTATTTCTTTGTGTTTCTGTAAATAATTCAACACAAGAGCCCGTCTTTAATCAGTCTGTTTGTTTGCCCTGCAGTTCACAGCCATCCCTGGCTGCAGAGGAAGCATTCTCACCTCCACCTCTGACGGGACGCAGCCACACTGCAGAAAGAGCGCACCATGTGAGACTCGGGCCAACCAATCAGAAAAACTCATCTCGTATGGTTTTTACGTTGGCGGTGAACATACAGCTGGACCCTAAACTTCAAATCAGCCCCCGAAGATGTCAATCAAAATACTGTTCTGTCTGCTGTCAAACTCAATCTGCACGTGAAACTTTTCGATTTTTCCACGTCGAAACAACGTGTTTCCCCTGCAGGACCTTTTGAAAACATCAAGCAGGAGACGAGAGATCTTTAATAAGCCAATAAGTCGCTTCTTTAAAACACTTTTACCGACGATATTTAAATAAGACCTGAAAATCCTGGAGAGATTTCTGTATCTGCTGCACACCTTTACACTGTGTGAAACACTGAGGATCATATTTATTTATCAAAGAGCCTCGCTGCTGCCTCACTGGACAACGTGAACAATCGACCCGGTAAAGCCTTTTGGACAGAAACACACTGAAAAACGTGCTGAAGAGACTTTATACTCAGAGGTCATTGTACTTGATTTGTTTTTATACATGAAGCCAAATACGTGAACAGATTATTTACTCCAAAGACTTATTTTTGTCTTGTAAAAGATCAGCGAGGTTTATTTAAATACACATTTAAGTTGTACAATTTGCACACAATAATTAGATATGAGAAGAAACTTTAACAAGATTACCACCGATATTTTTTGTAGAGAATGTCGTAAACAAATTGCCAATATACTTTACCTCACACTGTATTTCTTTTTATATGAGGGGCACCTTTTACTTCAACTAGATGTCATGTTTGCACTGAAAATTCCCTGGTTTTAATTTAGTTAAACTTCACAATATACAATATTCTTTTTCTACTTGCTGTATGTGTGGAGAGTGATCATGATGTGGCAAAATGTATTTTTCTATAAGTAATCAGTATTCCCATTGATTCCTTAAAACTGTACAGAGAATAAATGTTTATATATTAACGGTCAGTTCTGTGTCTGTCTGTCAGATGGGGTGTACACAAGTATTTAGAATGCAAAGTTTTGACCAAAATACCCATCACTGTCCTTTCTATGCATAACTTCTTGAAAGAATGTACCGCCTTTAGTTTTGCATTTATTCAATTAAATATAATAAACACTAGATGGCAGCAACAAGAGTTGAAAACCACAGATTATTTGCTGTTTGAGGTAACATCCTCCGTAAATTTTTGAAGTTTGGTGCCGTTAAAAGATATATTAAAAACATCTTGGTGATTGCATCTTTATTTGGGGAGACAAACGGATGCAATACTCAAAAACAAGAAAGAAAAAGAAGCATAAGCAGCAAAACATAAATAAAAAGCTTATTAATCACCTGCTGCGCTCTGCAGCTTTGAGAACTCCTCTGAGAACATTATTGCTTGAGCTCAGCAGAAAGAGAAGGCCTGGGGGTGCGGAGGAGTGTATGTGTCTGAGGGGTATAGGTGCATGATTTAGGACTTCACAAAGTCGCTCAATGCTTCATAATATATATATATATGTATATATATGTATATATATATATATATATGTATATATATATATGTAATAATGTAAGTTAATAGATTTACATCTAAAGACTTATTAAAATCTGTCCAGTGGTTCATGAGAGGTTTTGTTAACAAAGAAAGACACACAGGCAAAATGGTGCTAAATATAAGCTTTTCACTAGCTTTATAATTTGGAAAACTGATGCTCTACAAAGATACATTTAAGTTCCATCAAAAGGCAATTTTTTTAGTATACATCAGTTTATATGTAGTACTTGTATATTATTGTATTTTAATGCCAGTAGAACATTTTTATGCACTACAGTCTCCATTTAAAATGCAGTTTAAACTCAATTTTATCCACATGGAGGTTAAATACAGTCCTGTGAAACAACAGATGAAGCTTCCATTAAAACTAATGGGTGTAACTGAACAGGTCTAAAGGAGCTCAGACCCACAGGACTTCTCTCTGCAGGGGAGACTTGCCTTCATTTTTAACACGCCTTCCCCACACAGACTGTGAGGTATCTGCTTAAAGTCTTGTTTACCCAAAATAATATAGCTTCTTTCTTCATGTGATTTCCATTCTGGGGGTTAACAAAGACAAATTCATCCCTGCTTTGTCTCGTGCGGGTCAGGGTGGAAGTCAGAGATGGGGAAGGATGGGATGGAAGGAAGGCAGCAGATAAAAGAGTGTATAAACGACTCGTCACAGTCGTGCCAGTAACTCAGTCTGCTTTCCTTTACTGTGTGTGAGAGAGTATGTCAGCACTGCAAGGGATATCTCAGACGTACAGGGCTCTCTCTCTGTGTGTGTGTGTGTGTGTGTGTGTGTGTGTGTGTGTGTAATGATGCAGACAGACAGCTGCCATCAGTGTGGTTGAAGGGAGGTTCTGGAGAAAAAAAGAGCAGCAGATGGGAAAGAAAAGAGGAAGGATAGTGTGTGCCGAGGTTGTAATTTCACCCAGAGGCCTCGCTGTCACTCCATCACAGCTGCTGACACCTGGAGCTTCATACGGTGACCCTGAAGTTTAAACCACAGCTACAAAAAACAAACAAACAAACAAACAAATAAAAAAACCAGCTATAAATGAAAGAAACACAACTACAAAAAAAACAACAGCATTTGAAAAAACAAACATCAAATCTCTCTCTGGCAGCTCTCATTCATCTAACCATTCATCTTCCCCAACATAAACTGCCATCACAACTACTTGTTAACTATTTTCCGTGTCAAACAAGCACAAGACCCTCAACTGTTTCAACAGACATTTTGTTGCTTCTAGTTCCTTGTTTGCCACAGTTGCTAATGGAAAACCAGCTACTTCTCCTTTAAGTCAATCATCTACAAATTAAATCTCTCCTACAAGTCAGTCTTCAGTAAACCATACCTTTTCATATCCTGATGCGTATCCTGATACATACCTTTTCATCTTCACTGTTTTCTGTTAGTGAGATAAAAAATAATATTAAAAGGACTTGGTTCTAAAAAATCTGCAGGCCCTGATGATCTTCCACTTTATTTTTTAAGGCTGCCGCTCATATCATCGCAGTACTGGTGCCCACATCTTTAACCGGTCCATAAGCCAAAACTCCATTCCAGACACTTGAAAAACAGCCTTTGTTCTATCTTTACTGAAGGGAGGTGACCCCACCTCCCTGAAAAACTATCGACCAATCTCTAAACTCTGCATTCTTACTAAGGTTTTAGAAAAATTGATAAACCCCCAAGTCAAGAAGTATTTGGATTATTTTAACATTTTACCTCCCCATCAGTCTGGTTTCAGGAAACAACACAGCACAACGACTGCTTCACTGAAGGCTTTTAATGACATTGTTGAAGCACTGGCTGCTAAGGATTATTGTGCTGCACTTTTCTTAGACCTGTCTAAAGCTTTTGACACTGTGGACCATGACATCTTATGTCATAAGCTCTCAGAAATTGGTTTCTCAGATCACACCATTGGTTGGTTCACTTACTATTGCTCAGATTGAAGGCAATATGTTCAACACAATGGTACTTCTTCCAGCTATCTAACTGTTAACAGTGGTGTACCACAAGGTTCAGTCTTAGGACCCACCCTCTTCACAATCTACAAAAGTAATGTAGGCTGGATCATTTCTGTTGCATCCTTACATTTCTATGCTGACGACACAGTTGTTTATTGTCGAGCTAAAACAGTTGCTAAGGTTTTCCAGCTTTTACAGTCTGCATTCAACATCATCCATTAGATTTGTTCCATCTCAAATTGGTGTTAAATGCCAATAAAACCAAAGGAATGTTGATTTCAAACAGGAAGTCTGTACCAGCAGTCCTTCATTCTAATTTATCTTCAAATGGTGTTCCTATTGTGTTTGTCGATTCTTATAAATACTTAAGTATTTTGGTTGATGCACGTCTCTTTTTTAAGCCTCGTGTCGAAAACTTGGGAAAAAAATGAAAGTAAAATTGGGTTTCTTTTTTGAAATATATCCCGTTTAACTCCGAACGCTAGGAAACGCCATGTTACTGCTACATTCCTTTCCTCCAGTGACTATGGTGACATTATTTTCATGAACAAGCACCCTGCAGATGTTGGATGCTGTCTATCATGGTGCGCTAAGATTCAGAACTGGCTGTGATTATCGTACCCACCACTGCACCCTGTATTCACTGGTTAACTGGACATCATTAACTTCACACAGAATCTCCCACTAGTACATTTTCATCTTTAAATCACTTCTTGGTCTGCTGCCTTCATACATCTCCTCCTATGTCACTTCATCAGTGCAGCTACAGCGTGCGCTCTCAGGACATCATTACCTGCAGTGTTCCCTCTCTGCGGACCGAACTGTGCAAAAGGGCCTTCTCCTACTCCGCTTCTGTTTCCTGGAACACTTTGTAAAAAGATCTGAAGCTCGTGACCTTGATCCCTTTAAGGGACTTTAAGCAACTGCTAAAAAGGACTTGACTCATGTTTTTAGTTTTTCACATCACTTTATAATGTAGCTGTTATTGGTTTTGTTTTTTTAAATTACATTTCTTCTTGTTGTTTTTCATTTTATATGCTTTTGCATGATTATCTACTGTTGTCTTTACCCCATCTATGTTCTTTATTCAAAACAGGTCTCTCTTGTAAATGAGTCCTCGAGGCTGAATGAGACTAACCTGTATAAATAAAGGTTGAACGAATGAAAAAAACAACTTGTTTTTCCATCTCAGCGCCTGTTTTATTCAGAAGTAGAAACCTATCAGAGCTCACAGCTCAATGCCTCTGATTGAATTCTGACTGCATTCAACAATCTCTTCTCTTTTTGTGACCCTTATTTTTCTGACTTCCCACCTTTTCTACCTTTTCTGTCCATATCTGTCTCATATCATCTGATTTCTTTTTCACTTTAACCCTTTTAGTTTTCCTTCATGTAAACCCCCCCGTTGTGGACAATTTGGAATGTTGTGTAACTGCAAATTAAATGTTGATCCTAACCTATATTTTCTTAATAATAGAACTAAGTAAACATTAAATGTTAAATTTGATGGCAGCAACACATTTCAAGATATTTGGGACAGATCCATCTTCATCAATGTAAAGCATCCCCTGTTTTTGAGCTACAGTCTGTGAACATCTAGGAACAAAGGAGACCAACTTCTGGAGTTTTTGGAAGGGGATGTTTTCTTTTGGTGAGAGGTCTGGACTGCAGGCAGGCCAGTTGGTGATAGATGCTACAAAGCCATGCTGTTGTAGTGGATGCATTGTGTGATTTGGCATCGCTTTGCTTAAACAGGTATTTCTCTAAAAAAGATACTCTGAATGGGAATATATGCTGAGCTAAAACATGCACTTTTTATCATTGATGGTGCCTTTCCAGATGTGTACACTGCCTGTGCCGTTGGTTCAAATGCACCCCCATACCACCAGTGAAGCAGAGTTTTGCTCTGTGCATTGATAATAGCCTGGATGGTCCCTCTTCTCTTTAATATGGAGGACATAGAGAATGTGTTTCCCAAAAATAATTTCAAATTTTAACTCATCTGATCACAGAACAATTTTCCACTTTGCCTCAGTCCATTTTAAATGAGCTTTGGCCCAGAGAAGACAGCAGCGTGTTTAAAGCGTGAGAACATATGGCTTCTTTAAAAAAAAAAATCATATTAGAGCTTAAATCAGCTTTTGAAGAAGGCTTGGTGAACTGTGTTTACAGACAGACAGACTTTTTGTTTCTTGTTGGTACCACCTTTGTTTACAGGTATTTGGGTG